AGCGAATCAAGTTAACACGGGTTTTTCAAGCATTTCAATTATGTGTAACGCTCCTCCAGAGCTCCAAACAGATTAATATACGAGAAAACTGCTTATTTATAAGATATAAGAAAACAAAACGAAAAGAACGCAACGGTAACAATAGACGGGGGCATCCAACAAAGCTTTTGATTTCAAAAATTGAACAATAAAATAACTTCAATTTAAAGATTATTTTATAACTAAATGTTCAAATCCCCAAAACTACTGGGCTTCAGATCTTCTTATTTTGAACTCAGAAAAACCCTAAAATGGCCGACAGCATACAACTGCTTTTTCTATGTTTAACGATCTTATGGCAAATTCGCAGAATTCATGAATAAGAGCCTTGTTTAACTTAGTTCATTCTTTTTATTGACCCGTATGTGAATTGCTCGCTGCCATCAAAAACAGTGTAATTAATTTAGAAAAACAAGACTTTTTTCATAATTTCATTTTGAGTTTGATGAAAGTTTTTTAATGTGAAAAAACGTCACCTTCAAAAACAATTTGAGCAATAATATTAGGATGACATCCAGATCTGCAACTGAGTCCTTGACTTCACCCCACCAATGGTTCGACCCTAACTTTGGTTCGTACACAGAGACCCTAACTTTGGTTCGTACACAGTACTTCGTCAAGACAGACCAGCCAACAGAGAAGGAGGCGGCTTGGCCTTCCTCATCCACGAAGACATTGTGTACACCCCAATGCAACTACCACAAGATGGGACTATGGAGTGCATGGGTATCAAAGTAGACCACAATAACACCTCGTTCAGGGTCATAAATTACTACATCCCACCCACTAGCTCATGCCCCGAAGGGTACAGCGCCTCTATAGAGCCGCTTCTGAAAACAGACAATACCCTCGTACTAGGAGATGCCAATGCGCACGACCCCCTTTGGCACTCACCACTAGTCGACACTCGAAGCAACAAGTTAGCAGGGGAAATCGAGTTTTCTGAATACGGAGTTCTCAATGAAAACACTCCCACTAGGCTCCCATCTAACAACCAGCCGGCGTCACCGGACGTCTCTTTAGCCTCAATGTCTCTGCTAACCTCAGCAGAATGGAGCACTGAGACATCCCTCAGCTCTGACCACTTGCCAATCACCATCAAACTGGCAATGAGCTCCGCGACGACACCAGTTAGATCAGTCAAGAAAACCTACACCAATCTCGCCAAGGCCGACTGGGAAGCTTTCTCAGCCGAAGTGGAAACCATCATACACTCGTCCAGGAGTATAAACAGACCTTCTAAGGCCTTAATTGGCGCGCCTGGCGTGAGCTGCAGAAGTCAAACTAGGGGGGGGGGGGTTGGGATTGGGCGAACCTCAGATCCCGGATGTGTACTCTGGCGAACGCCTCCTGAGAGACGCTATCAATACAGCATCCAAACATCACATCCCTTCTGGCCGCCGCAAGGATGTGATACCCCAACTTCCGGAGTCAGCTTCCAGATGGATCATCGAACGTGACAACTTCCGTTCTCATGACCCGATTTCATCGGAGATCGAGATTCTGAACAACCGCATTCAGATGGCCATCCGACAGAGCAAAACAGCCAAATGGAGGGAGTTCGTCAGCAGTTTCGACCACCGGACCGACGCAGCAAAACTTTGGAGGACGATAAAAGCGCTGGACAACAAGACGAGCAAACAGCGGAGAAACCAGCCTATCAAGTTCAAGGGGAAAAAGAGGAAGAAGACGTTCACCTCCGCAAAAGACCTGGCACACAGATTCAACAAGCAGTTCACCACCCCGAGGCCCCACACGACGTCGCAAGCCTACAGGACCATCACCAAGAGTATCCAAAACAGGTCCCTCGAAGACCATCCGACAATCACCACAACCCAGGTGATCAAGGCACTGAAGAAAGCGAAAAACTCGAAAGCCACAGGCCCAGATGGCATCACAATGATCCATCTTAAACACCTGGGACCCAAAGCCATAGAACATCTGACGAGCACGTTCAACCTGTCGATTTCAAGAAGTCAAATACCCGCCATCTGGAAGACTTCTATCATTATTCCACTACTGAAGCCAGGAAAACCCGCCAACGAGAGTGCCTCGTACCGGCCGATATCACTTCTTTGCCCCGCAGTCAAGATACTCGAGAAGTGCCTTCTTCCGATACTCCAGAAACACCTCAAGACGGCAGAACATCAACACGGCTTCAGACCGCGACACTCAACAGTCACAGCGCTCAATGAGCTATCAACTGCAATCGCAGACGGCTTCAATCAACGAAAACCCGCTGCCCGTACTGTTCTCGTTGCATTAGACCTCTCGAAAGCTTTCGATACTGTGTGTCACGCTACCCTCAAGCTGATTAACGAGTCCACGCTTCCAGGAGCACTTGAACGCTGGTTAGCCACGTACCTGCACGGTAGACAGGCCCGCACACTGTTCAGAGACACGCTGTCAAGCAGTCGTATTGTCAGATTTGGAGTTCCACAAGGATCGGTTGTGGCTCCTAAGCTGTTCAATTTCTACGTGGCAGATGCTCCAATGCCTCCACCGACAATTTTCTTAGTATCCTATGCCGACGACTTCACAGTTTTCGCCCTTGGGACCGACATAGAGACACTAAGCAAAGACATCAACAGCTACCTGACGACGCTCTGCAATTTTCTAGACTCTCGAGATTTGGAGGTTTCAACACCGAAATGTTCCGTCACGCTCTTCACGCCCAGCACCAAAGAACACAAAATCACACCAGACGTGAAGATCAACGAGCCCTCATTCTGGCGAAAACACCGAAAATACTAGGCGTCACCTTCGATACAGCCCTGACATTCGGCCCACACTGCAAACTAGCCGCAGCTAGAGGAAGGAGCAGAGTGAATGTCTTGAAAGCGCTGGCAGGAACTACCTGGGGACAGAGCAAGGAAACCCTCATAGTAGCCTACCAAGCCTTCATCAGGCCCATCTTAGAGTACGCATCACCAGTCTGGACTCCGATCGCTGCACAGACCCACGTAGAAACACTGCAGAAAGTCCAAAACTCAGCCCTAAGAGTGGCCACAGGATGCACCACGATGACCGCTATCCAGCACCTGCACGACGAGACAAAAATCCTACCTGTCAGGCGGCATATCCGTATGAAAGCAGTCCAGCACCAGCTAGCCCATCATCTCGAAGGACACCCTGGCAACAGGCTGCTAGACCGACCGGAACCGCCCAGAAACATGAAGGAAACGCTCTTCAGCAGGTACGAGAGGTACGTCACTGCACTCCTCGAAACATCCGACTCAGAAGAAGACGACGACACGCACGTTACCGAAGAGGACTACAGAGGGCTCCTCAAAAAAGTGCACACAAATGAGGTCAAAGACGCCCTAGACAACCGGGACAACAACAAAGTGCTCGACGAACCAGCCCCCAAACTGAGCAAGGATGAATTACGACTGCCGAGAGGTACCAGACGGACCCTTGCCCAGTTGCGGAGCGGTTACTCCCCATTCCTACAAAGCTACCTACACAGACTAGACGAATCAACCCCAGAAACATGCCCACAGTGCAACTCAGAAACCCACACAACGGGTCACCTATTCAGGTGCAGCGCAAACCCGACTACACTCACCCCCCACGCACTCTGGGAAAACCCGATCGAGGCAGCTGCTTTCCTGCAACTCGATACAGAAGAAGCCACAAATGACGGACAAGAGGAGGGCCAAACTACGGGCACCTAGGCAACAACAACCAATGGTTCGACAATTTCAAACTTTGAGAAGTATTTCTGAACTTTAAAACTCCTCAAAATTTTGGAAAAATCATCGAAAAGTCATTTCTAGGAAAGTGAGATGCGTTGAGCAAAACATTGAAAAACGTCGTCTTGGATAATGAAATGAGTTCAGCAGTCACATTCGGAGGACAGATTTTCAACCCATGAATTTTACCCGGGCAGCACCCAGCTATAGGGTTGTAAAATTCCAATTTTGTAAAAGTTTTATATCTCAGTTTTGATAACTTTTGAACAAACTAAAAAAACGCCGTATTTAGTAAACTAAAGTATTAGAAAAACCTAAACACGAATACCCTGACATCACTCAACTACAGAGTTAGGATTTTCAAATTTTATCAAAATTTGTAAATCTAAAAATTTCTGAAAAATCATAAAAAACGTTCTTCTCGAAAACTTAATGGATTTGAGCAGCCATATTTGCAGGCAAAAATTGCAAGACGAGAGTATCTTGACAGTACCCAACTACAGGGCTGGGAATTTCAGATTCTGTGAAGTTTTTTTTTAATAATTTTTCTGAAAATTTTTGAAAAAATCTCAAAAATCGTCGTATCTCGTAAACTAAAAAAAATTTGTGTATTCAGAAGTGAAGGCCAAACTCGCAACACCTGTGGGAACCCTGACATACTACCACTATTGAGTTGCTAATTGAAAACTTGGTGAAACAAATATCGATTTCAAACTGGAAACACGAAAATAAATTTCTTAACCATTGCAATATACGATATAGCTTACACGTGAAAAAATTCTTTTGTTAAGCGAACCAAAATAATACTTTGTAAAAGCTTAAAGACGGTAAGATACTGAATCCCGAATTTAAATATGTAATAGAAATAGTTTTCAATTAGATAAATTTATAAATTTATTAGCCGAAATGAAAAAAAAAAAAAGATTTTTTGTTTTTTCAAGCTATTTTACTGAACTTTTCTCATCTGGGCAAGGTTTCACAAGTGACTCAAAAAATTTTTGATTATTTTAAGTTCAACTTTTTCGGTAATTTTAGCTAATATTTTTATCTTCTGGAAATGTTGATCGGAATGCCTGAACGCCGTGTTGCTTGAATTTGATTGACTAAAATTAGCCAATCAGATTCCACCGCATAAAAATCAGGTTAAGATACAGAAAATTTATTTAGGGCCGCTTAGTGCATAGTACCCTTTCAATCAAAACTTTCCACTGTCTAAAGAAAACTTTTAAAATTCTTTAAATTTTTTAAAACTCGTATCTGACTTACCTCTTGTGGCAATTGACCCCACACCCCTCGCACTTAAGTCCCTGTCTCACCAAGCCGAACAGCATCTGGCCGCAGAAGTCGCAGAATGCGGGACTCTTGTAGCTGTGCACGAAGAGAGAATGCGGCTTAATCTGGAAGTCGGCACTACGCACTTTGCCTGAAATAATTATCAAGATAGCTTCTTTGCAAAGCAACACAGATACAAAATTTTCCAGGTTTGGAAGACCATCTTGTTTGACGGCTATATTTGAATGCAAATAGTAACAAATTCTTTATAGAGAACTTTTCTTTTTTTTGTCGCTGAAAATGGTGGGGAAGGCTTTAGTACAGCAGATATGTGCGTTTCAGATGTGTGGACTAAAATTTTGTCCGGAAAATTTTGAAGTTGATGGCCTGAAATAAGACTGAAATAGCTAAGCCTATCGACCTCAAGGCGAAGATGATTAAGCTAGAGAAACGCCAATCAACCACATTATAAACTACCCTTCATACTGACAAAGTAGTATGCTAATCAATATGTAAAGTCTTGAGTTTGTCTGTTGTCCTTGAGATCTTTCACACCTACATCAATATATCGTATGAATACAACAAAAACAAAGTTGACCTGAAATGACGATCTCTATGAGGTCATCTTCTGCAACATCAGTGGTGTGGCTGATCAGTCGGAGGATGTTGCCGTCTGACATGTCGTGCTTGAAGAGGAGGATCTTGTCCGCAATGCCACTGTTGTACAGTCCGTGCTCTGGGAACTAAATAAATAACAAACGGGTTATATGGTATTCTCAGAAGCGGATAGGAGGGGTGGGTTATTCTCAGAAGAGGACATGTGTTTGGGGGGGGGGTCCCTCCCTACCTAAGTGATTCGAAACCCTTGCTACCCAAAGGGTTTCTATAAGTTACTATAGTTAATGTGGCTAATGCAGTCTTGTTTGAGCTTCGAACATATCAACAAAAAATTCCAGAAAAAAGGACGACTCAAATTTTCAATCACAAATTGAATGAAGTGGCCCTCTTTCAAAACAGTCAATTAAATTTCATTTATTTAGCACGCAAAAAAAGGGTTCAAAATGAACTCTAGTTCACAAAATGCAGATGCATGTGGTCTCCGAGAGCAAAAATTAAGCAATCTATTCCTTAACTCTTCCTTAATTTTTGCGGCTGGGTTTCCAATATTCTACAAAAAGTATATCCATGCTAATTATTTACACAGATGCGAAGCTGCGCTTTGCAAACATTAGCGAGAAAACGACAAAAAACAGCTCTATAAAAATTTAGAAATAATTACGAAAAATTAGAAACAAGCCTCAAATTAGTAAAACCTTTGCTATGCCTCGGACTCGATGCTACGAAATTTCCAAAGCTACATATCGTGATTAGGTTTTCATTTTTCCCCACCTGCGAATTTTGACAACTAAATTTTTTTTTTCACATTGTCCGATTGTTATGAAAACAAACACGCGGTCTAATTAGGCCATGATAAACATTTTCAGTCAGCATATTAACCTTTTAAACCCACTCATTGCACCATAAAATTGATGCTCGTGCGAGATGTGGGGGAGAGAAAAAAAAGCTCGTGATTATAGCAAAATGGCCCGAAAATGAGCACTTTTATTTGCGAGTAAGGGCCGAAAAAAGTGTAGTCATACTAATTCACTACCCTCGCTAGCTCCCTACTGTTACCACGGCTAATAGATGTATAAAGTAGATTAGCTGATGCATTGCGATAACCTAGTGGTTTCATTCTCGTTTAAAATTTCTGAAAGTTTCTTTTAACTGCCACGAATGCTCTAACAGTCGATCGCGTCAATCATTTAGGAACCTTCACTAGAAATCAAGAAACTTGAAATCTTTGTTTTCTACCTTACCTTACACAATCAGCTAGTAGTGTAAACTAACCCAACCCTGGCTCTTGCTTTCAATGAAAAAATGAACTTAAAAATCTTCTAACATCATCTGCATAGATTTAGGCTACCTTGCTGTCCATAAACTGGATCGCGAAAGATTTGAAGTCCAGCAACGAAGTCAACTGACCAATATCGACTTCAACCGATTCTCTCACCAACCCTTGTTGTAATTGGAACTTGATATAATTCGGACTTCCGTAACCAGTTTGGTGAGTACCAGTATCATTCCCACTTCCCGGCTGGTTCTGAGAGGATCCAAACGACGCTGCCGATGTCGCCGCTGCCAGTGTTTGCGTCGCGATTGCACTTCCTATACTTCCGGCAGTCAGTCCGGCAGCACTCGACGCCGCGCGGGAGGGTACCGGCGACAAAGGAATCGGATTTCCATTTGAGTTCAGTCTTTGCGCTTTCACATGTGTAGAAACAAAAAGAGTGTTGACCTTTTCTGATGAGCTTGACCGACCTGGACTGGCAGAGTTTGTTTGTTTTTGTTTATCTGGTGCTTCTTCTTCAACTGATTTCAGCTCCATTTTGATGTCCTTTCAAAGAAAAGGCTTCACAGCAGTATCCGAAATAAGACGAAGAAAAACTTCATAGAACTCTCATACTTTGCGAAGTCGAGAACTGTCTGCAGTTATAACGACTAACTGCAAAAGCACAACAAACTCTGAAAATCACAAAAAAATTAACAAACACTTATTTCATTGTGAGTAGTCACTTTAAACCTGAAGAAAACAATCATTTGACAAAGGCATTAATTCTCATAATAGGCATATATTTCTTTTCAATCAAAAATATATTTTCAAAACATCTTGCAAATAACGACCATCTCAGCCAATATTAAATTGGGTATATTTCAAAATTATCAACAGAATTTGAGTTTTTTAAGCAGACAAGAAATAGCAACATAGTAAATTATCAATGAGTAAACTACAATAAATATAATATTTAATTTCAACGAATTTATCAGTTCAACTCGGAAAATAAGAATTCATAGAATTGGTTCTAGTTTCACAAAAAAGTTCTAATTAGGGTCAAATGATTCTTTAACAAACAAATTTGTGACATTTCGGAAAAAAAACATTGGCCCTTATAACCTAGATGCAATAAATTGTATTCAATTAGCAACTTTACTTTCTGATCTTAATTCTGTGCTCAATTAAAAATCGCGCTTAGGCTCCATTAATTTTGATGTCCATAACCTATATTATTCACGTTTAAATCTTTTGACACAAATTTGCCTTATAGATCATTTCCAGGTGGATCAAACATCTGTTTCAGATGCTGAGGGGTCGAACGTTCCGACGACGCGTTGTTTACCCTTCCATTACTTGATGACTCAGCATTACTTGTTTCCGCATTTGCATTTTCCTTTCTTCTTTTTGATTCTCCACTTGAAAGCTTTTTGTAAGTACTGGAATTGGCTGCATATGAGGAGTTTGAATTGTTTGAACTACTCGTATTTGTTGGCGCTTCTAGTGTTTTGTTCTCATTTTCGGCAATCGGATCGTCCGAGATTCCTTGGCGATGCTGAGTTCCAATAGTTCCTAAATGGTTGATTACATTTTAATCGCATCAAATGAATTTCCAAAAAAAGGGAGAAAAGGAATGAACAAGAAATCAGAGTTCAAAACATGAAACATTTTGATTGCAAAAAAAAAAGATTTCCGAAAAAAGGTCAATTGTGTTTGAAGATTGGATAAAGACACACACACACACACACACCATGAAACTTTATGCCGCACAAAACGCTATGGAAATTTACTTTGAATACCTAGTTTTTCATTAAAAAAAAAGATTTCGAGCAAATTCGAATACAAAGTGCTCAAAAATAAATCACATATTTCTATAAAAATTACTCAATATTTTTTCTTCAAATTTCGATGAACCCAACGAACTCACCAGACGGTGATACCATTCCCATCTGGGCCAACATCGAGTCCAGTTCCAGCAACTCTTGCGGAATATCTTCCAAATTTGTACTACTATCCAGTCTACTATTGTTATTACTACTACTACCGCTTCGCTCATCACTTCCTGTGAACTCCCTGTTTCTCTTTTCTACCTTCACTCTGCCATTTTTGCCACTTAGACTAATGCGACGCTTGTCGTCCGATGTTTCTGAGTTTGGAAAGTATTTGCCCTTTGGGCCGTTGGCTGAGTTGCGGTTTTTGTCTCTGTTTCGCTCAGCTGTTGAACTTCCGTAACCTTAAAACGAATTCATGTTTTCAGTTCCAACAATTGGGCACACAATAATTCCAAACTACCTTCTAAAGCGAACAAATTATCCCAAATTTTTCAATTGTAATACTACTAAATTTTATCACCAAAAAATCTTTCTAACGCACTCGTGGGCAAATCTAGCATTTTTGCTCTAAGAAGTGGATTTTCATTTCGAGAGAGGATGGACAAAAATTGAAAATGACTTTTTTTATAGTTAAAGACGGTTTATCCACCAGGGAAAGGACCAACATACGAGCTGTTCAGCTCTTCACGAAGAACCGCGGTTGTGCTACTGTTTAAGATCTACATGCAATTTTTTTGGTTTATTTTCTGGGCTGGGTAATGTTGCCTCACCCTCAAGCAACGAGCACGGATCATGGTGGGCCTCGAACATCCGACCTTTCGATTTAGAGGCGGAGACGTAACCACTTCACCACCGCTCCCCTAGAGCCCTCAACTCAATAATACTAATAAGCTGTTTTCTTATTTTACGCGATGACGTCACCTTCAGCGGTGGCAGAAAAAGAGCAAGATGACGAGGACGATGAACAATACGACATCACACTCTTCCTTGCCTCTGCTCCCTTCGTTTTCCCTCCTCCTCCTCCTCCTCCTCCTCCACTACTTGATGAATTTGAATGTTTGCTGATAATGTTGTTGTTTGTTGTTGTAGGGTTGTTGTCGTCAGCGGCAGTAGTAGTAGCGCGTCTTGATGACAGAGGTGTATCAGGTCCATCATTACTGATTGACCTACCGTTATGCTAAAAATATTTAACTTTTAACTTTTTTATTTTAGCAACAAACACGTTGGATAACAAGGATAGCCGGTTGTTGTGCAAGTAGCACAGAGTGTTCCGACCATTGTCTTAAAAAACAAACCATTTTTTTGAATTCAAGTCGGTTTTTGTTTTTTTTTGCGTGGTCTAATGAAAAGATCTGAACGGAGAAATAGAACTTAGGCGTATTCGATAGTCAAAGGAAAGTAGGCCAATTGGAAATTATTTTTTTTAGGAAATTTTTTAAAACTAGAGTCGATTTTAGTTGGTGGTTTGATTCGCGAAAAATACTATCGCGTAGATAATCAGTGAGTTAGGCATGATTGACAAAGATTTTTTTCAAAAATGAAAATCAAACAAAAAAGCAGAATTTTTTTTTAAATTTTTATTATATTTTGTACAATATTTTTAATTTTTTTTTTAAATCCTTGATGTCAAATAAGCGCTGAAAAAAAACTAGTTTTCTTGATAGTAAAAAAAGTTGTGTGCGCCTAAAATTATTTTAAAAATAGTTAATTTCCATATAACGAACGTAACTCAATCGCGTTTTTCGCTCGAAATTGAACTAAAAATAAAAAAAAATTGAACCCATTTTTTTCGACACAAGTAAAATTTAGATTTCAAAAAAAAATCGTTCAAATTGCAACTGAAAGGGCTTTATTATGATATACTAATCAAATCTCTCCGATGATTATTTGTGGTAGCTGATTTTGAGTGGGAAAAAAAGAAAAAAACTAGACACGAATTAACTGAAATTATAAAAAATTAAACCCTATCATTACAGACATTGAGGCGAAGCATAACTTTGCACAATTTGTGATACAACACACAAAGCATGGCAGAGAGTCGTAGGAAACAGTCGAAAATCACTCAAACAAAAAAAAGCAAAACCGACGAAAAAATCATCATCCATAACTTTCATATATTTGTTCCGAATGAAGATCAATTCGATAAAACCTGACGATAAAAATCAATGTCAGCGTTAAAAAGTATCAAGAAGAAACTTACTGAGCTAGCGATAACTGAAGAGCCAGCACAAATAAACATAGTGGAGTTACGTTTTCAAATTCTAGAGCTATACGTTTTTCAAACTCCCAACGCAAACAAGTTTCAAAAAGCAATATAAACGCTAAAACGATATTGCAAAGTGACGTAGTACGAGTTATTTGAACCGATGCTACATACGCCAAAAAAAAACATTTCAGCCAAAATAAGCAAAAATGCTAGATATGGTATTCTACAGAGGTGAAGCGCAGCTTCGCGAACCACATGCGACACGATACAAACAAAGCATGGTAAAGCAACCGACAATAAATGAGACGAAAGTTATTTGACGGGTAAAAAAGTTTGCAACATGTCGGAAAAAAACATCTAACAAAAATTTCATACGTTGAAAACCATTCGTCCAGAATAAAGTTCATTAAAAAAATGCTAAATCAGGCAATTGAACGCCGAAGAATAAACTGAACAAAACTTTCGAAGCAGTAACAAAGCGGACAATACCGGAGCAGTAACCCGTTGAGCCGCCAAAAAATTAGCCCAAATTTTAAATCTCAAAAAAGTTTTGAATCACCACTCAAAACACGCATATCAAACCTTATTTTAAAGTCGGTTCGAGGAAAAAAAATATGCCGAGAAATACAATCGTCAACGTTAAAAACGCGTTCCAGCAGCCCATTAATAAGCGCCAGCAGCCAATAAAAGTGTGGTAGACGCCAGTTGCGCCGCAAACCAATTTTCCGTCTGCAAAAAACTTTGATTTAAAAAATTTTGACCTTAGAATTTTTACTAAACCAACCACTGCCCCTTCTTAAAGGGCAATTAGGATGACAGAACGTTGGTAGACAACAGTTGAGCCGAAAAAAAAATAGTTTTTTTTTCAGCGAGACATTTTTTTAGTTTGCAGACGGATTCGAACTCAGATCTTCCTAGGTATAAACTTAACCGCCGGATCGAGTGTGCCGAGGAATATGCAAGTTTGAAACTATAAGGGAACTAAGCCTACATATGTATAGCCGAATACCCTTGAAACGTTCCTATGTACGTTATTTCATAAGAACACCCACTTACATAAATCATTTAACAAGTCAGAAACTAAGCCAACAAGGACAACCACAAGGACGACGCAAAATGGTTATCTAAAAAAATATTTCCAATTTATTTCTAAACAATGGTTAGAATCGAATACAATTTATCAGTAGTTACTAGTTTTAGTAGCTAACTTAGAGTTTTTAAGAAAATGTGCATGTCAGTGAGCAGCACAAACAATTCAGTGGCTCTGTTAACCAAAAACCCGAAAAAATTTATGTTGAGATTTGATAACACAAGCTTAATTCAACTGCCAATACTATGCAGCTAAAGTGTTTTCCAACATAAGCTTAATTCATGTGAATTAGATTGGAAAAAAAGTAGACTCGTTATGAAAGACAATGCTCGAAAGCTCACTTGTGTGAAGATTGAAATTGAAGATGGCCCCAATTTCAGAGAAAAAAAAAGTTTTTTTTTTGGAAAAAAAAATCTTGTACCTGGTGGCAATACCTTTGCTTATCGGAAGACTTAAAACTTGCGGGATAAAAAAAAACATTTAGTTACTACAACTAACATAGTTATTTGAATTCTGGTCGGCAAGAATCAAACTCTGTGATGACAAAGAACTCCCGTTTTCACTTCTAGTTCCTATTTCCACATCCCCTTCCCCTCCCGGCGATACATTCCGCTGCTCTCTCACTCGTCCCGCGTGTTCTCGCAACAATACATCTAATTGGTTCGAGTCCTGTAATGTCGATAGAAACCTTCCCAAATGATTCATCAAATGCAGCCGTTCCGGTCCAAGTAAAGATCCGAGGCCTTCTATAAACTCATTAACCGAGCGACCTTCGTGTAAATACGAATGTACTATTGCATTAAACTGTTTTACTTCTTCGTTTGTTAAAGCTTTTTGAACCTCTTTAAGAAACTTCTGATTGGTCGAAACTGACGAATAATTTCTGCCCATAAATGGACTTGACTCCTGGAGCCTCGAAGCTGATATTTTTCCGGGCGAGTTCAATTGCTGATTCGAGCCTCTATGATGATGGTTAGATTCGCTGAACGCTCTTTGATGATTAAACTGTATTTGTTGCTGAACTTGCATGAATGGCGAACTTTGATGGGAGAAGACGTTATTTCTCGAATGCGGACTAGCAATTTGGCCATTTCTTGCAACTGGCGAGTAATTCGCATACTGCGGCGGCGAGTCATAAAACATAGAAGTGCTTTTGGGGAATTCAGATATTAACATACTTGTCGGACGGGAAAAACGAACTTCGTGGCCGCTTCCAATTGAAGTTTCCAAGGCTATTGATGAGTTTCGAGAGGATCCAGGGGCTGTTATGTTGAACCCTGGAGAATTATCAATCGGGGTTCCTTGGGCTGACCCATTTGAAAAGGACGCGGCATCCTTAAGAGGCGGGGTTAAAGCGTGTATGGCTGATTCATTGAAAAGCGTGGCAAATAGTTGCTTGAAAAGAGCACAGGTTTCCTCGGCTAGAGCTGAACTTACAAATTTGAGCACCAAAATTCGGCAATCTGAGGACCTTTTTGCGGCGTTGGCAGTCGGAATAACTTTTAAAAGCACGTAAGTTACAGCGCAATCCGACACCATAGCCACTGCTTCGATTTCGTGAAGAAATACTCTTAGTATCAAAACTTCGTTGTCACGTCTCATGATTTTTATATTATGTATTGACATACTAATTATAACATCGTCACAAGGCTGATAAGTATATGGTAATTGTCCAAGTTGCTTCGCTTTGTCAATCGTCGTCAGAACTGTTTGTCGGGAATTTAAAGGAAAATTTCTTTGGATATCTTTCAAAATACCCAGATATTGTGACTCGACCTCTATATAACTATCTATAAAAACATGCGAATCCAGGGTATAGTCGGGGGCTTGTAGAATTGGGCACTTTAGAGGTCGCTTTGGGCGTCCACCTGGCGACCCTGGATATCTGTCACTCGTCATTCGGTTCGAGTTCAAATCCGAGTAGGACCCGTAGCCCGATCCCGCGCTTCCGGAACCAAATAGGAAATTCTTAAACCAAAGAATCAATTTAATTTTGGACACTCTTATTAATACGGAAGAGCTTATTTGCTTTTTCGAAAAAATTAAAATTATTTAAAAAAATATTTATAAGTGGCATAGATCCTATTCATCAAGGTAACTAAGAGATACTATTTTCAGACAAATGATAGACTATAATCGCAATACATTCACTGTTCCATTTCTACCCGCCTTTTTGGGAGCCAATAATAACTTCTTTTGTCTGATCTAGAGTCTATACAAGCTGTGGCTAATTAAGGCGCCTTTAATATTTTCAGCTATTTAAGTAATCATTCAGTAATTTGATGAACCTAAAACCTTCTCCGCATTAAGGAAGCCAACTATATCACAATAAATACTAGCAATATGATTTGCTAAGAGATATTCACTTAAAAGTATAGTTTTCAAAAATTAGACATAATTGTCAAAAAAAGGTAACCGGATAAGCACTAGATTTCAGGGATCTCCAAAAAGTTTTCAGGTATCTTTTCTCTATAAACTTTTGAGACGTCATTAGAAGTATTGGGTGTCTCAAAATTAAATTGATGCCTTGAATCGATTCTTCCGTGGGCGATTATGATGACTCGTTGATCCATGGGATAACGAATGCGCGTGCACTCTATGATGGCTGAATGAATCCGAAGAGTTTCTGAGCTGTTGATGGTTCGCCACTACTGAAGAACCTTGCCTACTAATTCCGTTTAGCTGCTGGAGGGAATAATAATGGAGATCTTGGTCGCCTTGTATATACATTTAATATATGTCTCAACTGAGCTCCCCGTACTATTTAGAATCTAAATTCTGTGTTCTAATTTAGGAGTATTTATCATATATATCATATACACGATGTAGGCGTAGTGTTGTAATACACATACATTAGAGTGAAGTCCGTCCAATCGTGCAGTTGCAATCAGTTTTGTGGTATTATGTACGAATAACACCGGTTAGGTATCCCAGAAGAATTTGTTAAATAATCGCTTAATTAGTAGATCACAGAAATTCAATGTCTGATTTGTCGATATAAAACACCACAACATACAGATGGCAAACAACACAACTGAAATTAGTAAGAACGATTAAACATAACATGACATGACGCGATAATGACACATGTAAAAGGTCAAATCTGTATCTCTTAAAGTTTTTTTTCATCGTGTCGGTATCTGAATCAGAAGCGGTACCTTAGAACTGATTCTGATGAATTCGATACCAATCTAAATATGCAGACATTAATCAAAGATTAGACTGGAAACCGATTCTTTACTTTTTGCAACCAATACAGCCTAACTGCTTTAGGAAAGTGAGAAAAATATGTTTCAAATATGAATGTACTGCTAGTCGTTGTTTTTGCATGAACGCCAAAAAGAACTTTAGTACATACTAGACGCCAATCATGTCTTATGATTCGACTTCTGATACATTCGACAGCAAAACCAAACCAAACAAGTAGATGTCAATCAAAAATTCCAAAGTTTTCTTGCTTTTTCAGACCTAATATTAATTAAATTTATTAAACCGATCAATCATCAATTAGGTCTTGAATTGACCAAAACTAATTTCATGTTTACAAAGCACTTGTTCTATACCGGTTAATTGTACAGTAAGTCAACTGTATGGGCATCAATCACAGATTGGTATCAATAAAACCCGATATCGACCAACATGACTTTGAACACCCCCCGTGGGCGACCTTCCGGTTATGTGCTGCTCTGAAAGGTTCATGTGCTGCTCTAAAAGGTTGAGCTCTAGGTGATGAGCAGTTTCAAATTCAAAGGTTGAGGCGCGGATTTTCAAAAAAAAAATTCTATCTTAACAAACGTTGTAGAACTTGTATAACGACCAAATTTTAAACACAGGCAAAAAATTTTTTTTCCGAGGTCCCAAAACACAAGATTGCACCTCGCCAAAGTACATGCCAGACGCCACCGTTCGCCAAAAGTACATTCATGAGAAAAGGAACCCCAGGAGAACAACAAAGAAAAATACGAAGTTTTCATTTGAAAGCGACGAAGTTTCATTTGACAGATTCCAATAAACTAACTAATACAAAAAATCCTATCAAAGGTATTTCAGTCCACTAACAGACTGAAATATAAAAACATTAAAACCTGAATTTAAACTGAAACTTAACCAGACTGCTGGTATCGGGTCAAAATCCTGAGTGTTCTGACTCCCCTTCAACTTCTACCATACATTTTTCTTCAAAAAACAGTTTTGATTTTACAAATTTTTCATTATATTTGGCAACCTCCTTCCCACCAACAATAGGTAATTTTTAAAAATTTTCCCACCAACAATAGGTAATTTTTAAAAATTATCTCAATTTAGTAGCAAAAAATGAGACCGAATAAACTGACATCAATTTGGATTGCTTCGACCGCGGATTAACTCGCATCATTCAAATCACTCACACTTACCCATTGAGTATTCCCGATGAACAAGTACAAAGCGCCCGTAATTTAGTCTGGGAAATCGGCAATTTTCAAGTTTCAACAAAATAACTCAGTGAGCTTATGACATTGATATGTTCATTCAAAAAAACCATTTCTTTAACCAAAATTGATTTTGAAAAAGGCACTGATAAAAAAATTATCACTTTCTATGAATTTTACCACATTCAAAAATGATTCAAACAACAGTTATGAGCAAATCCGTAAAAAAGAGCTCCAACTAGAATTTTTGAAAGCTCGAAAAACGTCCTCGATTCAAATAATAAACTATTTTAATCATTAACTACATTAGTTATTTTAACAACGTTAAAGTAAAGTATGCGCAATTTTCCATTCACAGTAGGACAATTTACCATGTCATTAACTCGTTTTTTCTTCGAAAGTCAAAACTAAATTTGAGTCAAAAGACATTATTCGACCAATTAGATTGAGTCAAATCTATTTGGGTGACGTCTAATGCCCAATATCACTAGGTTTATATACTTTGCACCCACAAAAAAAAAGGAAACAGAGCTCACAAAAACAAATCCAAAGTACAACTCCAAATGTCCATATATTCCAAAAATGTCCAAACTCCAAAAGAAAACAAATTGGGTGATATCTTACAATAGGTGGTAATTCTGGGTATAGTGCATGTATTAAATTTCAGAACTATTATGCATAATATAATCATTTCATTTTCAATCAATTGTTCTACTATTTAGATAGTTTTGTAATTACATTACTCTGCCAAATGAAATGCTATTCTAAGGCTCAATTTTTACACTTTTTTGCCAAAAATAAATTATAAATAAAGTGCGAAGTTTAATAAAAAGCGATCCCGCTATTGAAATTGAATCTACCACCTATTGTAATATATCACCACAAATTGCATTCTTAAATTGCAGTTATTTCTGCATTCTTAACTAGCAATTTTTGCCGTTACTTTGTAATATCGTCTGAAAGCTATGCATATCCTTAGTTCAAAATTTAAAAATATTATACCAGCGACCTCTGGGAATATGGCGACAGCCTACTTGCATGCGTGTCGCTTAGCATGCGGTTAGTAGCCAAATTAAAATTGAGTTTGTTTTCTCAAATTTGCATCAAAACTCAAACTGATGCATGCTGCACTAAACTGAGTAACTATTTTAGTTGCGCATGCTATGCGGCACGCATGCAAATCGCTACGCCACCGGGTTCTTCTCAAGGCGGAGAGACCGAATGATGGAAAAATTTCAATCAATCAAAATGATTAGACGCTCCTGTTCGCTAAATGACTTTTGCACAGAACCGAAATGAAGTCACTTTTAACAGAAAAAGCATTATAACAGTACAGCAGTTTTGCTGTAGAATTGGTACAGATATGGAATAAAAATTCCGATTAGTTTTTTTATTAATTATTTTCCAATGCGTCTCTGATCTCGCAATACTTGATATTCATGTATCTGCTTTTTTCTCATCGGTCAATATTAAGGTTAATGGCCTGGATTTATTCGCTTACTTTGAGATTTGTGGAAAGCTCTTGATATTTTAGTACTCAATTCTGATTGGCTAACGTTATTTCCAACATTCGGTAATATTCGGTCTTACCATAATCAGGGACGCCACCCGATCGTTTTTGGAAATTGCGGGCGAAATATCTTTTCTTTCGTAGCGTTGGCTGCGTAAAAAAAACAGCTCAGAATTTACTCGAAAATTATCTAGGCATGCGATTTGATTTGAAAACTACTATAACAGATGTAAACATAAACAAGACTGCTCGTATATCAGGGCAAAGCCCTGAATTTTCCAACTGCCCCTTAATCCTTACCGAATAGTTTTTGGCAAAAAAAAATATTGAAAAACTATAAATTTAGGACAAAATCAATGATCAAGTGTAAAAATTTTGAGTCGTACGAAACTGATACGACCAATTAGCTAGCCTCAATTCAATTTGAAACGATTTTGTTATGCGGTATAATTCGCCACGCATAAATAATTTGCGTTACGCTCTCAACATTATAATAAACACTACAAAAAACGCACAAAAATTAGTCCAGAGCAGGGCCAAATTGGCAATTTTCAAACTCCAGAACTTTGCAAAAAAGGATCGGAGGTAAAATATTGTTTTATATTTGATTTCAGGGAACCGATATCTTCAATAGGATTTTAAAATGTGTTATCAAAAACTATTATTTCGATCGCCGAAAATTGACTGAATAAAAAAACCACCCCAAGCATAAATATTTCCGTTTTCTTCGAAAGTCGAAACAAAAATATCTCTTTGTACTTCACATTCGGTAGGGGGATTGCTTTTGAAACTTTTCAACTATCATGTTCGCCAAAAGCTACATCAGACAGCTAACAGGGCACTCTGAACATTCAGTAAATCGCCCTGATACGAGCCGTCTAGTTTGATTTTGCACCCAAATCATTGAAACTCTTGAGTAAAATTGTTTAGAAGATTAATAACTCGATCATCAAAAATGGTGAATAAAAACACCCTGAGCTTTAAAGTTCCGTTATTTTCTTCAAAAATCGTAACGAAAAAGTTAAATTGAAAGATCACAGTTTATAGACAAGTCGATAGAATTTGTCCTTTTGGTATAATTAGCTCAAGAATAGACAAAAATATCAGGGTTGCCTTGAAAATATGACCGATCTCATCAAAGAGGGTGTGGCTGTTTATTCATGTTTCTATCGGTATGTGAAAAGACACTTTTCTTTGGATCATGTCAAATACAAATATTCAAAATCTATTTGATGCTAGTACTAGCAGTGCTGAAAACATCTCTGAATCTCTCCTTTAGATCTACCCTTCTGTGTGTCTCAACTGTAACTTCAAATAAAAGGTCGTCGCCTCAAATAATAAACTATTATTTAGTCATGCACTTCAGTTATTCTAGCATCGGTTAAGTTAAGTGTGGCATTAAAATGCACGGTTGAGCCAATAATTTAGTCAAAAGATGATTCACATTTACAGTATGTAGAGAAGAGCTTAATAAAATCTTCAAACACATTAACCTGAATAACGAGAAGAAAACAGTTTCTTAGTCAGCAAGTTGGAATAATTTGCATAATAAATTATGAGAAAACGACCAAGATTTCCAGAACAAAGTAATGAGCAGCAATGTTTAAGAGCAGATAATTTTCAGCAAAAAAAACTTATTTTGTAGCTCCTTTTAATTCAGATTTATAGGTATATTGCGCACTTCAAAATTTGGAAGCATATGTGCTTTTCAATTGCACGCCAAATGGAGCCAAAGGCTGACTTTTTAGAAAACTTTTTATTTGTCGACTTCCAAACTTCAGTTATGATTATCATTTTTTCCGATTATTTTGAAATTGACCTGAATTAGACCACCCTAAATCTGCTCTTCAGCGCTCTGCGCTAAAAATCAACCTATTAAATTCACAATTCAATAATTTTAATAACTCATTTAAAAAACTAAAATTCGACATTACCCACAACAGCACAAAACGAGGTGAATTTTTACAACTTGCGTCAAAAACCTAAGCAGACAAATGATTCAAAAGTAAGCATTTGGTTCAAATTATACTGAAATATTTGACCCGAGTAGTAACAATCCTCCTCGACGAAAATAACAATTCGGTAACGATAATTGTACTATTAGTCAAAAATAACAGCAGCTCGGCGAATAAGTTATAACTGCTAAGTGGTGCAATAACTTATGTGACCAACTATTCTTCAGTCGTTATTGTGTTCGATTCCGCTCTTTGAAGATATACATGTAGGTTCCATTATGTATAAAAATCTTTCAGCATACTGTTCAAAATATACTATCTTTTGGTAGGTAACTTTTCCAATTCTTACCTCAGTAAAGAGACTGATCTAAGCTTTCTGTCAGCAAGATTTCGAAAATACTGTGTAATAATTTTGTGATTATTCTAACAGCAGGAACTCATCTTGGAGCCTATTTTTTGAGTACTTATGCATTTCAAATTAAAAAGCAATTGATTTATTTTAAAATGCAAATTTACGTACTAATAAGCTTAAAATAAAATGAATTTTCACCACTTTTGTTTCCTAAAACTATCCAAACTTTGACCATTATCGATAAACGGTATTGAATAAAGTATTAGGAGTTAAATAATTATACCAAATGGTACTCTTAAAATAGCTCAGTAATATCTGAGACGACCTCCTTCAGTTTGCCTTTAGGGTTTCTTTGTCATAAATCATGCTATGACTTCGTAAACAAGTCAACAAGCTGTCTAGGTGTGCGATCTGCCTTGTCTAGTTTTAAGCTGCTGTTCCAAATAGGACAAAGACAGATCTGCAGCTTAGTTCGGTCAACGCCCTAAGAAATAAGAACCAAATTTAACCACATTAAAAAAAACAATAAACTGTAATGATATTTTAACTACCAATAATGTGGTAAATTATTGCATATGTCTGATTTACTTTAAGATCTAAGATCCAAAAACTTGCGGAATTTTTGAAAGTTTTTAGAAGTTTTGAACTAATACAGAACGGTTCTAAACGGCTCCTACATTGGTTCTGTTCCTTGCGGAAAATGATATCCTGTGAAGGTACCTCCTACGGGTAATTAAGTTATAACCAGTTTATAAACTGCTGAGAGCCGATTGTTACATTAATACAGCACTTACTCATTAATTGATTGCATCAAGTCATAAACTGCTCTTATGAACTAAAAGTGATTAACTAGTTTAGGTTTATTATCGGCGGTTTTTAGCTCTTTGAAATTTGGTTTTGTTGGGTCGTTTTAGGTTTAATTTGGTTTTGGAAAGAAGGCCCTTTGCTATTTCTCCATTCAAATGTTTGCAGTTAAATAACTTTTAGGACTATAAATTCGATAGCAAGATAAAGATCTAGTGCAATTCTTTTTGCGACCAAATTGTATTATGAAGCCTCTTTTGAGAAAAATTAAAACTAACATCAGGCGTAGAAAAAGCAAAGAACTAAATGATTGGATCTACTAAAAAATGCAATTTTTTTTCCCAGGCAAGGCGCAATTATTCATGATCTCGATATCAAACAGCAATAAAATCAGTCAGTTTTGGACAGTTTAAAGGGCATTGATTGGCTGAGAATTTCGTGCATTCAATTCTTCATTACTTAAGAACAGCCCCCTTTTTGCAACAAAAAATTGTCGGGATTCTCATTAGTAGGCGTCTTGTAAGAAAATATAGACTGCCATCAGTAAAACATTCTCTCTAATCATATTCAGTTGTTTTTTTTTTTACAAAAACAGCCGCTGCTATCCTTACCGTTCATAATATCCAACCAGAACTCAAATCTCTTGCTAAGATATTTTGAGTCACAGCCTCCCTCCCCCCTTTGTCATAGAAAGGTTGCCTTGGGCGGAATTTAAGCTGAATGCAACCCCAATTTGTAGATCCAAACATTAATTATCAAAATCTTCGATTCTTATGGCAACAAAAAAAGAGATTTTTAGAGACCGCAGTCTTAGCAGCAGTTGGTTTCTTATTTCCTTTCTATTAACCTTTGTGAGTTTTGTGTATAGCAGTGAAACCTGGCCATCAAAATGGCATGTTACACAATAGCTAAATATACACAATATTAGTTTGCAAGTTTGTTCCGTCGAAGTAACTACAGAACGTGAGCACCTGAGATTGTTAAGTATAGTATGGAATTCTATAACTAGAATTGGGATCTATCTAACAATTTAACAAGAAAAACATACCCCCTCCCCCTCTTCGTGCCACGAGACTAAAAAGCCATTTAACTATGGCTTCAAATCTTTATCTCAACTTCGAAAAAATTACAATTATTGAAGTTACCTGCTTAAAGCGGAGAGACGAGCGGAAGAGAGGACGTATATAATTAACGGCCAAATAGCTCCCAATTCGCAAAGGTACTGCAGTGATTGTATTTAAGGGTAGTTATCTGTTGCATCTGAAAGTTCTTCATTTACCACTTATGTGTGAGATTATATCTAGCAGCAGAAGAAAAAGTAACGAGAGGCGAACAAAGCACAAATTGAAACACTTGCAGCTATTTGGATGGCGAAGCGGGGGGTTAAATAAAGTTAACATACCAAATATTAAGTTATTGATATGTTTTGGTTTTTACCATTCTGAAAGTTTTTGCCTGGAATACTTCATTTTGTAACTATTGTCTCTTTAAATGATCGTTTTCTGTCTCGCCTTTTGTTTTTTTTCTTCAAACTCATAGCAGCCTATGCACTCAGTGCACCTTAAGTATTCTGTGATTGTGTGGTGACATTTTTATTTATGTGGTCCATTATTTACAGCACTTGTATGAACACCTTAGCACACACCTACATATCTTTAAATTACTTAATTTTAGAAAAATTTGTAGCTTTTTTTTTTCAAAATTATCAACTTAATTTGTGCATTTAGTAGAAATCCTGAATAACATTTTGGATCTCTGTGACTTTGAAACATCTACACACTTTTGTAAATTGAACTAATCTGAAAAATCCAGCTCGATAATTCCGAACAATATTTCGAAATAAATTTGTGCTCTCAGAAGTTAAAATCCTTTGAAACACAGTTAAAATTCCTTGGGTAACTTATTCTTCATTATGATAGTCTTTAGTAGAGCCAAAATGTCATCACGAGCGCTGATGTCTAGAACATTAATATATTGCTGGTTTTTATAGACATCATTATTAAAACAGCGCAACAAAATTTAAGACATCTATTCATAGCATCTCCAACATGTGCACGTGATCAGAATCCGAAGTAATGGAAGAAGAATGGCTTCGTAGTCTCACACAGACTCGCATTCTTGTACAGGTTATCATATATTGCGTAATAGTGCGTGAGGGCGCCTGTGATGACGAATAGATGCCAAACTGCGTGTGCGAAGGGAAGGATGCCGTCTAGCTTGTAGAAGATCACTCCGAATATGTACATGGCGCCGCCTAGGAATAAAGGAAAATTCAACATAAATTTCAAGCTGAAAGTTAAAAACTCACATTTTTAGGACACCAAAAATGAAGCTTATATTTATTTTTAAAATTTATTAGAACACAAAACCCTTCTTGATCAAACCAGTACCTCTGCAAGAAGGGTGCCAAATTGAGTAGCCTTGCCTCAGACAAAACAAAATGATTTGATCGATTGCCTTTGTTCAAAATAACATCCACTTTTGTTCAAAATAAGCACCTTTCTGAGTAGATTTTGTTTCTGTTTTTAGACTTGTTGAGCCTACTTTAATTTCTCAGTCGTCCTGATTTCATTCAAAAAAAATCATTACAAAAACAATTTTCCTTTTATAAAGAAAACCTTCCTCTCCTTCGCAAGAAAAACTCAAAGTCCGCCCAATTGTAGCCCCAAAAAATTGAAACGTCAAAAGAGCACTCAATTTTCAGTTGTATTTACCTCTTCTAAAAACTAGGAAAGGCTTCAAAAGTATATTAGAAACAAGGATAGCCGGTTATTGTGAGAGTAACACAGAATGTTCCGACTATAGTCTTAAAAAATTATAGTTTTTTTTCAAATTAGTGTTGTTTTTTCGGCTTGGTGTGATAAAAATGACCTGAACAAAAAAACTAGAGCTTAGGCATATTCAACAGTCAGAGAAAAATTCGCAACTTGGAACAAAAGACAAAAGCATTTTTTTTTGCAGTTTTCTAAATTTTTGATAGAAAAATTGCGCTAAATTACTCAAAAAACTAATTTCACTTGAGTAAAAATAACTTTTCATGGCTTAAATTGAGCTATTGTAAGCTTTTAAGTCATTAAAATAAGCGATTGCAAGCCTGCTCGCTCGCTTCATTCGTCGACTTAAGACGAAAAATCAAAAACTTCAACCTGTTTTTCTCGCTACTGCGAAAACTTTTTAAAAATTTCTAAATGTCGCTCGAATCACGACTGAAAAGGCTTTAATATGATAGATCAGTCAACTCTCTATGATTATTTGTGGTAGCTGTTTTTGCATGAAAAAAAAACAACTAAAAGACACCCGAATACAAATTTCCTCCCATTTTTCAAATGGTCAGAAAAAAAAACATTTTGATTCATACGAGGAACGATACGTTTTAGCCATTTGTCTGCCTGCTCTACATTATCCGCCTACAAATAACAAGTTCGTAATGATATCTCAAGCTATCTAGCAAGCAAACGTCATCAGACCCTCAACATGAGTTTTGATTGGCAATGTTATTACCAAAAGCGAGTTCGTGCCAGCCGTTGAAGCAGATACTCTCCACGATGACAGCCGAGGGTCCCAGTCCCACTGCGACATAGAGCATCACCTCCGCATTCTGGTACTCGTCATGATAGAACACTTGGATGAACAGACCAATGACCACCACTGCCCAGATCAGCCAGAGAACCAACTCTAAAACACAGCCAACAGATGGTTGGGAAATTGTAAAAGAACAATGAAACCGAAAATTATATTTCTTGCGCTTTTGCGAACATTTTTTCTGCAATTTTTACTCAAAGAGCTAGCGAGCGTGGTGTCATTTTAGAAGGTTCACTTTAAATTCAAAAAAGCTTGTGAGTTTCAGCCATAAACAATTCTTGAAATTCAAAAAGTTTTTTAAGGATTCAGAGGTTTTCAAGAATTGTTGAGTTACATACAAAATTTGCCAAATAAGCATTTTTAATTGGAGGTTGAATTTGAAAAAAAGAACTTCCCAAAAATGACACTACGCTCGCTAGCTCGTTGTGTAAAAACTGCAGGAAAAACAAATTATCACAACTAGCGCAAGATAATGGCACAAAATGATTCCACCCCTGCCGAGCCAAAGGGTCCCCTCTTTGTACTATTTTGAGATATCCAAAATAGTCTTTGTACTATTTTGAGATATCCATTTTTGGCATCGGGTCCTAAAAAGTTTCTAAAGGCGCCGATATATACTAACTTTAAGGGCGGAGCGAGCGCCAAAAAAACTAGCCATTTTTTTGACAAATTTATCCGAAGAATGTCTAAAAACGCCTTTTTCGGCCTGATTTTTTTTAATTTTGCCTGCGGCGCAGAAATTTTGACCAAAACAGTGTCTCTGTAAAGCTTTGGGAGAGCTCGGATAATCAATTTGATCGACCTAAATTTTCGATTTTTTTTGAAACCCCCCTCGAGAAAATCCTAGATCCGCCCCTGGTTCTATTCCTCTTTATCCCACCTTTCAAATTTTCTCTTTTTCTAGCTGTTTTATATATGATTTTAGCTGCTAACTGTGTGATGTTACGATGTCAGGTATGAAGATCAAATCTGTTCACAATTGGTAGTTTGTTCACCATGCCAAAATTCATAGCATTATGGAAACGTTACGGTAGTTTTAAAATTAAAAAATGGAGGAAAGGAGTTGAAAAGAGCCTTGGATGTGTTGTATTAAACTATCTGCTTTTGAATTAGCAGGGGAAAATAGTTTTTTTTAAACCGAGAAAATGAAAACAAATCAATTACATTAAGTGAAACCCCAAAAAAGAATGATGGATGTGAAAATAGAAGTAAAGGTATTCCTCTTTACATCTCCACAGGAAAATCGATATAGTAAGTTCCGCTTATCTTTCAAAACAAAACAATTAGATTAAAACCTCTCCATTAAAATGTATACTTTGAAGTTCATCGAGTAAAAAATCATTTAAGACAAATGAGATTATTAATTGCAGAAAATTCCTAAAAATTGTTTCGAACTTGTTTTGAACAACTCGTTGTCAACTAGAACAAATAAACATAGCCAACTGACAGTTGGAAAAGAGTAAATGAACGCAAGGAAACTGAAAAAACTCACTTGTTTTTTCAAGACCCTTCACCTCTCGAATTTCTAAGGAAAAAATAAAGGCCTTAAAGCTCTTCGAATTTGAAGAACAATTTATGCTGAACACTTTTTTGTTAAAATGGCCCCAATTTGAGAAAACTGGATCAAAAGGTAAAACTTCTACTTCGCTGAGAAATCTGATAATTTTCGAAACTAGAAATCAATCAAATTTTTCGTGACCTTTACATTTTTGCTCTTCGGTAGCGAAGTTCGCCTTCCTTTTAACGATGAAAATGAACTGAACTTGAAAAGAAATCACGAGTCAAACCGCGAAAAATGAAATTGAGCGTCAACAAGACTTTTCCTGAAAAAACAACAAAAAAATCACCAGGACCTATATAAGAAAACTCTGTTCATGACTCATAAATAAAAAAATACCCTTTCACCGTTTCCGCCGTAGCGTACCTCTTTATAACAGCATAACATGTTCATTACGAATGATGGTGATATTATAGCATAGGTCGCACCTTGCAAAACACTAGTGGTTCAAAAGCAGCTATAGCTGCTTTTCAACAACGAAGCAACATATGCCATCACAAGGCAGGTAAAGAGGGAACTTAATAAGCTCAGTCACTGCTGTCCAGAACTCATAAGTTGGGATTACATAATTTTTACAGAGGCGACGCTTTATTTTGCAATTACAAGCGAGAAAACGGCAAAAAATTTCTCTAAAGATTTCAATCATAACCAACAGAGAGCTAATACTGAAGACTGATACTTTTTTCAGTGTTATAAAATTAAGTCGCGTATGAAAAAAAATCTTCTTTTCGAAGTATTTATCTTCATATCTGTGGCTTGAAAGAAATATATTTTATCAAGTTATTTGGAAAAATCTTGGATCATAGATGATTTTTTTATTCACACAAAACAATAAAGTCCATTTTTGACACTTTAAGTCCTTCACGTTTTTCGTGACCATTATTGGAGTTTGCCTTCCTTTTGAACAAATTTTAAAACTTTTCTAAGAAAAATTATCGCGACTGACTCATATAAGTGAAAATCATTTCGTTCTGTTACACTAAAACACAACAACACTCAATAGTTGAAATATTAAAAGGGTAGCACGGAAGGGGGATTCAAGATTCCACTGCGTTCTTGCAAATGATTAGGTGAGCGATTAAAAAATTGTCATTTTTTATAAGTTCAGAACGTTTATCCATAAGGTAAGAAACCATCACACGAATGGTTCAGCTCTAAATAGAACTGCTGTTTTCTCCTGATTCAGACGTAAAAACTATTTTTGTGGTTAATTTTTTGAGTCCTTCTGAGTCAACACTGGACCTTTCGATGAAATGGAGAAGGTCGCTGTCTCTCAATCAAAAGGTCGGAGACTTGACGCCATTTTTGATCCATGCTCGCTGCTTGAAGAGAAGACATTTGCCTCCCCGTCAAAACTTTGTTGCATTATGACTGCGAAACGTCTAAAATGTTTAAGCAAAGGTGAAGAGGAGCTTAAATATTTTTGAGAAAACCAAAAACTCAAATATGTACTTAACTTCAAGACAAGTGAAACAGCACTTCGCGAAAACAAGTGAGAAAACGGAAAGTTAAAGGAAACAATGCTAGGAAATGCCTCCGAAAATAAAAAATTTTGTGCCGGAATCACACCACCGACCCGGAGATTAGGTTTCTCAAATGCTCGCATCTGCCCCACGATCGCTTAAGAAATTTCAAACACTAGCTACCAATAACACAGCTACAGTAGCTGTTAAATTGTCAATACTATGCAGCATAAGGGGCATCAAAAAGTATTTGACCATTTTATGGCAACAAAACTGTTCTGAAGAAAGCCGTTACAAATTAACTCAAGTTTCATGAAGCCAAAAACAACTAATTATTCTGCACAACGTTATAGTCAAAACCCGTCACAACACAAACATAATTTTTCACAAAGTCCAGCATGAGCCCTAGAAAACCTATACCCGAAAACACCAGGGTTCTCAATGAAAACCACCAAAGTTGTAGGAGCGTCAAATTGTAAGAGTATCAAATCTAGAAGATTCATTTAATTGAAAAAAACGTACACTTCGCAAACCCAATTCGTTTCACGTGCAGTTGGAAAAAAGTAATGAACACAAGGAATCAGACAGAAAAAATTTCAAGTTGCGAATTTTAAAGCATAAATATATGACCTTAAAGCTTATTGTATTTTACGAACAAATTTAAATGCTTGCCGACTATTGCAAATCCTTAATATTGAGTGTTTGAAACTAAAGACAATACCGAACTTACCCAAACTGATAATCGATGAGACGAAACTGAAATCTTTTAATTTTATCAAGATCACACATGCATGCGAATTTTAAGGATACACTCGGAGGCGAAGCACAAAAATTGATATAGAAACTGTGATACAACAACGGACAGCACAAGGCTATAACATATTTCTTATATTACAAAAACTTCAAATCCAATAAAGGCACAATCCAGCATTCTCCAACACTAATAATTCATAAAAGCGCCTTTAAAAAACTCAAATCAGTCGAAACATTGATTGATAAAACAGAAGAAAAATCAAGGTTTTTCGAATTACTGCAATCAGAGATAGTCATGATCTAAAAAAATTAACTTAAGGCTCTATCTTTACTTTCTTTTGACTTAAAAGGGCAAGTATCAGAAAAAAAAACTATAACAAAACTTCTCGAAACCAAATAAGCTGCATCGTAAAAATTTCTTACTTCAACAATAGAAGTCCGTGAAACGATCGTAAGTTATTTTTTATAGAATGGGAAAATTTTCTATTCGAAAAAAAAAAACAGAATGGGTAATCTCGAAATACAAACTTTACACGAAAAAAACAAGATAGATGATGCCGTAATACAACCTAAGCCTTCCTAGTGAAAAAAAGTTGAGTTATTGCCAGCGCAAAATTCTTAATAAATTTTTTTGTTTAGCTGTACTTAAGTAGACAATACTTGAGCAAAGACTACTGCTGGGCCGAAAACAAAATGTTATAAAAAATAGAAATCCATGTTTAATGCATAACGCACAAACATAAACTTTAGCGAAATTACACAAAACTAAGTAGATCGTAAAGTTGAAAAGACAGAGGCAAAGCTTCGCTCCGCAAACACTAGCGGGAACACGACAAAAATTTAAGATGTTGAAAAAAACTACGTGAACCAAATTTTTCGTAAGTCTCGATAAAAAATACAGGCCCAGCTGAAGCTGGAGGTACGTGTTTAATATTGATTAGTTTGCTATACTGATGCGGCACGAAAAGTGTGCTTTCAAAAATTGGACTTTGCCAAAACATTAGTTGTTTCTCAACTAAAATAAGTGAAAGGAGTAAGAAGTTTTGAGATAATCAATTTTACCAAGGAAATAACATTTCTCTCACAAAAAATTAAGGAATCGCTGCTTCTGCAGGAACAACTATAACCCGTTCCTCGCTGCTTCTGCAGGAACAACTATCGAAAACGGTCAAAAATTTGACTTTTCAGAGGGCGATAACTTCTTGTGTAAAACGTTTGTTAGTGTCCACTAATCCCACTACCTGTTATCTCATTGAACTCACAAAATCAGATTTGAGAGGTTAGTTCTCGAGAAAAGTCGACAAGATCCACAAAACGTCAAAAACCAAAAATTTGAATACTCCGAGGGACATAACTTTATGTGCAAAAAAACGGTCGGAGTCACTTATGCAGGAGGGTTTTTCAAAACAGTTCTATCCATTGAAACCAAAAACTTATATTAGAGAGGGGTAGTTTTCGAGAAAACACAAAACAAATCATAAGTATGGGTCAAATATTCTAACGTTTTCGAAGGCTATAGACAGAGGGGTCAAGTAAAAAAAAAGACTCTAGGGGAGTATGCAGGCACGAAGAATAAACAAAAAAAGCGGTCTTTCAATTGATACTATTTTTTGAAGATCAGGAAAAGTTTCTGAGAAAAACCAAATATTTTGCAAAATGGGAAAAAATATTCCAACATAGCCAATCAAAGATTGGAAATGAGTTATGAACGCAAGTAAACATTAAAAAAACACTGACTCTGTTCAAAAAAATCTCAACTTTCGAATTTCAAAGAAAAAAAAAACAGATGCCCTTTAAGCTCTTTGAATTTCTAGAACGATTTATGATTAGCAATTTTTGGATAAAATTAACCCAATTTGAGATTTGAGAAAACGGGATCAAAAGGTTAAACTTTTGCTGACGAATAATTTTTTGCTGACAAATCTGATAATTAATTTCCACTTTGGAAACTAGAAATCAATCACGTTTTTTCGCGCCATTTCCACGTTCGTATTTGGAGAGTGCTATTCACGTCACTTTCAGCAGATGAATTTCAATTGAGCTCAAAAAACGCATATATGAACAAGTGCATCAATATTTTTCGAGTGCATATATGAACAAGTGCATTCAATGAAATTATGAACAAGTGCGAAAAAAATGAAATTTCAACAAAAAGATTGACAAACATACAACCAATTAGAAAAGTGCGGAGGGGAGTTTTAAAATTGTGTTGATCTTGAAATTTCCGCGAAAATTAGGTCATTAAGCCGATGAAAAAATAGGCCGAAATAACTTTGGCCGAGGAATTTTTTTAGCGTAACAAAAAAACAAAGAAGGAAATATGAAGTCAAGGTAAGTGAAATTACAAAATGTAGGCTTAAATCAACAATAAAAACACCTATTAAAAAATGCGCGTAGGAAAAAAATTCCAAGATGTGACAACTAAGCCGACAACAGATAAGCAAACAAATAATTGGCCGACAATTTTTTTTGAAACAGAATATTTCCCGTTTGAAAAAAAGGTCCTGGTCAGACTCGAACCAAGGACCTTTGTAGTCTCAGGCATACTCGTAACTCCAGGTTAAGTTGGTCAGGAACGCTATGAAATTTGAATACATTATGATTCAAGGTAGAGATCAGCCCAGATGTGACCTGTGGACAAAGTTGTTTTCGGGGAAAAAAAGTTTCGAACCTGCGACCTAGAGATTAAGAGTCTCACACACTAACCACTCAGCCACAGAAGCTTAATTGGTATCAAACGCTAGCCACAAATAAAGCAGAGAACAAATTCTATGCAATTTTCAATGCTACAGTGAAATTTCCAAATAAGTGAACACTTAACGAACACTTTAATTTGCGAGTTAGGTTAGACAAAAAAGAAGGTTCGTAATAATACACGAATCTGATCGCTAGTGTAAATACAAGAAAAATTAAAAATGAATCTCAATTATAGTAAACATTGTCTGAATTTTCAGGGTTTAGGAAATGGATAACAAGGGTTTAGAAAGTGCGCCAATAAGGAAGCAGTCAATTGATAGTTTGATAATGAAACTCTTTCGAGAGTCAAATACGCAAAAAAAACGGTTCCTGGCCTGAACCCAACATAATCCTGGCCAGTTACCTTTTTGTTATATGCAAGAACTGTACGAAGATAGAGGTGTAGGAGATTACGACCCCCGCCATGAACATACAATTAACACAGAGGCGAAGCTTGACTTGGCAACCCTTGTGATACAATGAAAGCATACCATTGCACGCTAGGCAACAAAAAGTGAGATAGAATTCACTTCAAATTGAGTACTAACTTGGATCTAAATCACCGTATCTCCTCAGAAGCAGCCAAGGCGTGTAAGATGCAGCGATGAAGATGAATATTGCTACTCTGTCTCCGACATGTGCCAGTTTGCCAAATATTGTTGAACTGTGACCACAGAGAGACATTAAGTGATGAATTGTAGAGAAAGTCAGAAGTTGAACAAGGGCTCCTAAAATTGTTTAGCTAGTACACCATTTAGCTCTTCAACCTATTCAAAAATCGGCTGATTGGGGAAAAAATCAACTAAACCTAGAAACTTCTTACTTTTTCGTCTGAAACACAGCATCAATCCTAAATATTTTTCCATTCAAGTACAAAAACAAATTTAAAGGAGTCCTTCCTCGTACGACGGTCCGGTACAGGTTAGAAAGGGACTTCCCAACGCTATATAAATGCATAAGCTAAAAGAAGATTTTATAGCTTATAGAAACTTGCCAATTAAAATCTAACCCCCTCAATTATTGAACTAAACGAATTGTCTATGCTATTTGTCTATGCAACAAATATAAGTTCGCAAGGCAAAACCGCAAAAGAAAGTTGGCATGATATAAATGTTCAAGTGTTCTTTGGGATTCAAGTCCGGTAGCAATGAGAACCTAAACCACTCAATATCATTGGCGGCAAAATTTGCTGGGTGAACAAAAACTGCATGGCGAATCCATTGTCTAGTTTCAATAAAAATTGGATTCTTGACTTCATTTTCCGGTCTCAATAAGTTTTTACACTTCCGAATTGCTTCTCACTTGAACTGGAAAAAAACGTTCAACTTTTAGGACTTTCAAGCCTAAGGAGCATGCTAATAGCTAGACTTCTCGTTTCTTTAGATAAACGAAACCTTTTGAAGCTCACGTTAAACCTGCGTCTCTTTTATTCTAATTTGAACTAATTTTGTTCACTGAAGTTTACCGTTGAATTACTTTGTTCACGTTCACAATTTAATTAAATCAATGATGAGAAAAAAAAACGTTCTTTTGAGTTTTGGCAGGCCAACAGTATATACTTTTGCGCATCAGTACTTAACATTCGGAGTGTGTTCTGTAAGTAGACAACCGCATATTCATGCTCGTCTTAAAGTAGAGAAATACTATATTATCCGCTCAGCATCGAGATGTGCAAGCAAACTCATGAAAAATTAATTTCGCGCTTTTGCTTCCTAGTCTCAATTCTGATTGGTTAATACAGTATTTGTTTACTCACTGACGAGCATGAAAACGAGGTTGTCTATTTACGGCTACGTAACCATAATATTCGAAGGTCAAAAAGGATGATCAGCTCATTTAATCTATACGTACTAACCGCCATATAAAATTGCTGTGAATGACTGACTTTGAGACATTGAAAGATTGTACAACATTAAACCCATCCAAATGCATGGGAGAATGAACACACCATGCGTCAAAACGTTAGCAACATCTTCAATCAGAGTTGGCCGATAATTTTTTCCATCTTTTGGGCGTTTGTTCATCCAAATTGGTTTTTCATTGTCAGCTTGGGTATAGTCAATCGAACCATCGACTGAATGCGAGCAACTAGAACCACAGATCATGATTTATATTAAATGAAGCGTTTGTAGACTTAGGTACCCATGAAACTATGAGATCTGAAAATATCCACACGATTAGCTTACAACAACTGAAATCAAGAAACTTTCGGAATTTATTTGCATAGTTATGTTGTAGAAAATTAAATATCGCCAAGAGACAGTTAGAAAAGAGTCAAGTTAAAAGGAAACAGAAAAAAAACTGATTTAGTCTAGATTATTTCTGATCATTAGGCAATAGTGCAGCCTCTTCTGATCAACTCATTGTGCATTCCTTTTCTAATAGCTCATCTCATATATAACAAATCCATTTTCTTTCAATTACTGTCTAGGTTGTTTTTTAATCCGTTGGTTGTTCTCGAGTTTACTATTTCTCGTGGCAGATTGTTCCAGTCTGTTGCAGCTATGATCAAGAAAGTGTTTTCCTACTTCCGACTTGTTTTTGAAAATCATCAGAAAAAATACGCATGCCCCTCAAAAAAAGAACACTTTAATTGCAAAATGACAAACAAAATGATGCAATAGTAAACCATGCAATTTTTGTATATCATGTTTTTTATTACACGATATTATGGTAACAAAAATACCTTCGTCTTCAAATAAATTTAAATGTTCTCAAGATGTTTTTCCTTAGGTTGAAATAGAAGGTTGCCACTGAAAGAAAACATTTCTTAACTTAAATTTCATAGTTTTTTAGGTTAAACTTCTGCAGTTGTTAATTGTGCCAGTCGGTCATTGTAACATTCGCCCGGAAGATACATATCGACGGAAAATAAAATTAAGTCCTAAGACGACTGGCTAACGTCTAAACAGAGCTTTATATGCTTTTCACCGTCTCTACCAAGCCAGTGCTTTCGGTGGTCTTTTCTAACATCGGGTCGACAAAAACGCTACTGCTTTCGGCTTCGGTCAAAACACTCAAACTAAATTAATTACATGCAGAAATAGTGAGCTCATGGCTGGGTCTCAGTATCCCCAGACCACGAGGTCACTCCTAAAAACAGGGCTACTACTATTTATTATATTACTATTGTTTTTGTTCAGTAGATAAAAATCATCATCTCCATCGAAGATGGATCAACCCTTTCCCCCAACTCCTAGCTTCTCATCCTTATCAAAATGAATCCAGTTGTTAATTAAATTCAAATCAGGACATGACAAGAAGCTTAAGTTTATATAAAAGGATAAAAGTCTCAGTTCCGAAACCCTTCCGGATTCTTGAATCCACTGAATCAAGCTCGTTAATCTTGATTTCTTCGTAATCCGGAAGGCTGTCTTCCACCCTTCACCGTTGTCTGCAACGGCCTTGCAACTATTGTAGCGACACAATAGTTGCAACTCGGAACGTTCTCGGCTATTCCTGCAATCTGCTGTTGTTTTTTGATCACGATTCTTGTAGTTGTCGTCCGCGCAACTGATGTTGTTGTGTTGTTTTCTAGCTTTTCTGCCAAAATGGCCGTTTCTGACGTTTCTCAGAAATGTTACGTAATCACTTCGAAAATTTAAAATTAGCAATTTCCGAATCCTTTAACCTTCACGTTTTGTTCAATCGTTCAAATAACGTTCTTAATTCTTAATAATCACCAATCCGGAAGGCTCGCTGCTAAAAATTCGAATTCTGCAGAGATTGCATTTTTCACATTCTGGTCGAATGCCACATACTCCCCGGAAAGTCCGGTCAATGTCCTCATTGAATCACGCAATGTTCGTAAAATGGATACAGTGTCATCGAACAGAATTTACAAAATGCGCAAAATTACTTTTATCCACGTCACATCGACTCACTGCAGAATATAAATAGCATCATACTACATCACTATAGCCTTCAAATTCTTCCATTATTCTGCACATTGAGGATATGACCTAAAATAAAACATATTTTCTGACTTCCAGTGTCGATGGCCCGATCAAAACTTTTTCTCTTAGATTTAAAAGGTGTTGGCTTGCAGGACAGTCCTGCCAACCAACAAGCTGAAATTATCCTACTATGATCTTCCCTTCGGAAATCTCGCTTGTTATTGTCCTGAATATTAAAACTAAGAAACTCTGTGGTTAGAAAGAACAATGAAACAATGTCCCTCTTCGAGAGATTACTCATGCCTTCCATGCCACCACAAAGTGATCAGTTCTCCTAGCTGATTAAAAATGGTCATGCAGGCTGGAATGTTTAAATATACTCCTTCACTTAAGCCTTTCTAAATAAAAAATAAGTGAGTGTCTCTAAAGCCACTCAACTGAAATCAAAATGCAAATTTATAAATGCAAGAATTTCAAAACTCAACTAAATGTTTCAGTTTTCAATTACAACTTGGTTGCTTGGTTTCTCACTTGAGTTTTTTCACACACATAAAACAATTCTGAGTTTTAACTTTTCTTTATCACTCCTTTGTTTTCTTCTTTTTTCGTCGTTTAGAAGTTCTAAAACTTCTAAATTCTTCTAATTTCGTCTCTTTTTTCATCTTGTTTTTCGGTCATTCGTCAATGCTCCATTTCTTCCTCCTGTGATACTAACTCTGCACTCTCAGTTTCCGTATCTTGTAACACGTCGTTAGCTATCCTGACGCTGCTGGAAGCCGTCCTCCAACACTTCTGCTCTTCTACCCTCTGTTTGCAGCAAGGTAGTGGATCCACTTTAGATTCTCTGTTCCTGCAGAAGCTGTTGTGGAGACACAACGTCACGTTTCTCTCCAGATCCTCCTTTAACATCTCTGCCTTCTCCTTTCCACTACGTTCACTCGTCCTGGAAATTTTTTTCACAGCGGTGGTCACTGCATTCCGATGAGTCACGAGAGCTTGCTTGAAAGCTCCTGCTCCAATGTCCAGCTGATATTCACTGTACACTCTGCTATGCTTCGACATATGCTTTTTCGCATACTCGTACAACCATGCAGTCATGTTAGCTCTGAACCATGGCATCAATTGTTTTCTTGCCCATATCTTCTTCACTTCCATCGGAATATTTAGAACTTTGCACATTGTCTCGAAAAGATCTAAATCTTTTAGACAATCTAACCTCCGCAAATGTTCTCTCGTCGGTGCCTCCTGTCTGTTATTTTCTCTCACATGAGCTTCCAGCCATCGTATCGCCATTATAACTCCCACTATCACGATTGTTATGGGCTGTGATGAGTCTGGTAAACCCATGGAGAGCAGCTCTCCAGAGTCCCAGATCAACATCAGATTACTACGCTTGGGATACCACCAGGTCTGCAGCAAGCAGTGGCAAGGAAACTAGTCATGCGTCAACATGATGCTCCTCCAATTACGTTTTCCCAAAGCTTCCAGCAATGGTTCCACTTCCATCATCACTCGGTGGACTTCATCATTCTCATCTACTGCATTGTAATCTGTGACAGTTGATCCTTTCTGTTTCTGTCTCTCGAAGTCACTGAAGTTCCCGCTCACATATCCCATGAACTTCTTTCCTAATATTGACTCCAATTCTTGTTTGGTTCTCTCTGGAACTGCTGCGAACATCTTACATAGCAACTCGTATGACTTCTCAGACATTCTCGCCAGTCTCACACACTTCGGCACTGAGAAGACTTGATCCACAATCGTTCTTGTATTCCTCACGTCCACAGCTACGAAATGTACAGGGTATCTGCTTTTGCACATTGGAGCCAACGTTGAACCCACCAAATATTGTGCTCCTGATGGTCTACAATAAGTCTCACTGTGTCTAATGTTCCTTTCCGTCTCGATTGCCTCCCTCCATTTTCCTATGTATTTCTGCTCAGTCTGCAGAACTCCTGGGAATACTTCTACACTGATGGCTGTGACCATCTCATGTTTCTGTTCCAGATTCAATAATGACTCTAATGAACCAAACATGCTGTAGAATCCAAGTGCAGTCACTAGATTCACCTCGGTCCCTCCATGGCAATCTGTTATCAGTTCCGTTTCTGTTCTTGCTTTCATCACTACGTTTCCAAACAATACCGTCAATTGCTTGTGTTGTTTCTCCAGGGTCTTCACACAATCCAGACCTCCACAAACGTAACCCTCCAGTCCACAGACTTCCGCCAGACAGCTACCAGGTTTGACCCAGTCTTCTAGTCCCCAGCCAGGCAACTCCACTTTATCTTCTCCGTTGCTCTTAGAGGCCGTTATCATCACATTATATATGATGTTGAGGTCACCCAGGTTACAGTCTGCATTCAGTTCCCTTTGTACGTCTTAATATTGCCCGTAATATTGAGTCAGCGGTGGGACTAGGACACCATGATGGCCTCATCAATTCCCACACCGCCATCAAGCTCGTTCTCAGCAATTCACCTGAGAATCCCAACCCAAACTCCACTCTTTTGTCGGATTTTGGTACTGAAGGTGCAGTCACCTCTTCTTCCAAGACCAGTCCCAATTTGGCCTGTGGATTGTTAACGCTCTTAATCGTTACAATTCTAGACGTCCAGAATCTTAGCAACACCGCCTGCTCATAATCGAAGAAGCAATCGCGCATGTCTTCACTCAGGAAAGGCTTGTACGCAATCCCTATGATCCCGGATACGTAGCTATACGATTTCTTCTTGATCGGTCCACAGTATTCACTGGATTTCGGCAATGCTCCCATAGATTCTTTAGTGAGTCTCAGCTACTTGTTTGAGAATCTCCTGATTTCGTCTATCTTTTTCATGGGTTCCAATTCCTCAGGTTCTTTCATGTTCACCCTCATCGGTTTACTTTGCTGCATATCCAGCAGTGCTAGCAAGAATAAGGCTTTCGTTCGCTCATCGCCTTCCTTCAACATTTTAACACAGGTGTTCAGTGCCGTTACTTAAAATCTGCTCTATCAGGAATCGAATGAAACAGAGAGCATCTCTCCGCTTCGCACACGCTACTGCTGCTCCCTCCTGGACTATCAGATCCCTCAGATTTGTCATAAGGAACACCTTTTCTTCCTTTGACCTCTTTCTTTCTTCTGAATCATATTCTTCGCGAGTCAGTCCCATCATGCACCAGGCGAACCTGAGTTGTAACTCTGTTCTTACGTAAGGCACTGCCACGAGAGCATGTATTCTTGGCGTAGTCCTCATTTCTTCTTCGAAATACCTTA